GAGCAGCGGCTCCGATGGGCGGTGAAGGGCAGCGCGGCCGCGGGGGGACCTTGCTCCCTCCCTCCTAGGCCGGGCCCGGCGTGCGGCGGAGATGCCGAGGCCGCCTTGGGTGGGTGAGTGAAATTAAATCGCATTCAAAACCACCCTGGGCGAGGCGGGAGCTGGGCGGAGGAGCCCCGCAGGCCTGCCCGGCCCTATCGAAGCTGCGTCTGTCTCGGTGCTGTGGCAGATGCAGTCAAAAAAGAGCCAAGAGCGAAGAGTTTGTTTTCCTCGACGGTCGCCGCTCAGTTTGAGCCTCTGTAACTGTCCGGCAACATTTCGGGAAAATACATGGCCCTGGCAGGGGGGAGGGAAGCAAATACCTGCTTCAGGGTCTGGAGAGGTGGGAGGGGGTGGGTATCCCAGCTTTTCTGGTTTAATAGATTCTTTTCTGTCATGTACCTGAAGCTCAAGACTGTTCTTCTCCAGCAGCATCCTGGCACGGGAGGTGACCGCAGTGCATGGAATGGCTGGAGACAGCCTCGGCTCAGCAGCGGTGGGCAGGTGAGATGGGCACCCCAGGCTCTGGAGTCTCCCTTTGCTCTGGGAATTTGGTGGCCTTCACGGGCTCCCATGGCCAGAGCAGCGAGCTGCTGCGTTTCCTGGCGCTCTGCTCGCAGATGCTGCCAGCGCAGTGCTTGTTCCCAACACTGAGGATCCTCTGCAGGGCTCGTGCTTGGGTATTAAACCCTGCAGAATCTTCTTATTCCTTGCTCTTGTTTATGGGTGAGATAAGAGGGGACTCTCTCCAGTGTCACTGGGCTGGGCTGGTGGGAGATCTGGGAATCAAATCACATCCAATCCAAAGCCACTCGATCACTCGGCTCTCACTGTGTGAAAGCTTGGTGGTGACTCCGCATGTTTTATCCAAGAGCTGTGGCTCTGTGCAGTAGCTGCAGGTCTCCAACAACATGCGAGAGCAACGGGAAGGTCTTTGACTGCTGGGCCCCTTTTGCCTCTTGCTGTCACTCGCCCCTCCTATATGTTTTCAGGAATTCGGGTGTTTTTCTTGTAAGATGCTGGTGGTTTCTGTGTCAGTGACCTGTTACTTGCTGAGTTGCTGCTGACACTGGGGGTGTTGCGATGTCTTCCAGGGTGGTTTGGTGTGCGGAGCTCACTCAGCCGATGGCCGGCCCGCCAGATGGAGCCGAGGTGAGAACACGTCCTGGGCAGAGCCCTGTAACCTCCAGATCCCTTTCCCATCAGATCTGAATACCGATCTTGTGGTCGAAAAAGGAGGAAAACCAAAATTCACACTGGTCTTGGCCTCTTTGCAGGCGCAGTCCTGCTCTGAGAGCGGCCGGTGGGAAGACAGCCCCGTGCTGGCTGGGCTGGGAGTGAAACCCCAGTCGAGAGAAGGGACAAATGTTGGGGGCAAAGGTCCCGTGAGGATTTGCTGGCTGGGTTTTTATGCATTGATTGCTTGTGTACAGCGACCCATTGACTGCAGATACTTACCCGTGGCTCATTTTTTTTTCAGGAATTGCTGGTGTAGTGGAAAAAGGGCAGAGCTGCTGAGCCACCGTATCTGGTGAAGGGATTCCCTTTGCTTTCCCTAGGCCCTGAATCAGGGAAGCTGGGACACAGAGCACGTGAGTGTCCTTTGTGGGTGATCGCTGGGGGGTTGTGGTTGGGATCTCCCAGTCCTGGAGGACAAAGGCCAGTTCAAGCTGTGCTGGCAGTGGCCAGTCCTTTGTCTGGGAACGATTGTCTTCATTAGTAAGGGTTTTAATTGGGCAGGCTGTGCTCTGTCAGTGAGAACAGCCACACTACACAGCTCTCCCAGCACAGCCGGGTCTGTGATGACTCTGTTTTTTGGAGACTGTTGGATGAATCCTGCGGATATGGGGCTGAGGCCAGGCCTGGGCGAGCTGGAACCACCATGGGATGAGAGGATGGCAGGGGATCCCTTCCTGCAGGTGAAATCTGCAGCCAGGCCCAGTCAAACTGCTCCTCATTCAGGCTGGATTAATTTTTATCTTCTCTTTAGGACTGAGAAGAGCCAGGAGCTGAGATGAGCCAGGCCCCAGAGCTGCAGTGTGAGACTTCAGCTTTTCCAGTCCCCTCCTCGGAAATGACCGGGTCCTGGCCGTGAGCTCCCAGCGGGGGAACAGCCGCTCCTGTGCTCTGCTCACTGCGGGGAGAGGGAGCTTGTTTGGCTCTGGGCACTGCTCAAGCTCCCATTTAAACACTCGATGTGGAAGAATGGACCCTTCCATGAAGCTTTGTCAGAAGAGCTTTGGGGAAGGCCTGGATATAAAATAATTTGAGGGTGAATAAATGCAGTCACTTCAAACTCTCGCTGTGTCTCCTGTGTTTGGGGTGTGTTGGCTGGGGGTGATGCCTGGCTGCCTGTGTGGCATTGTGACGCAGCTCCTGCTCCTCTCTGGAACCCTGGTACCTCAGTTTTCTCACAAGGGAGAACAAATTTGAGGCACAAACAACCCCACAACCATATTGGGGGGGTTGTTTGTTCCCTGTCCAAGCACATCCACCGGGTGATGGCAAAGTCCCCATGCTGGCTGCAGGTCACCGGGGCTGTTTGCTGAGCACCTTTGTCCCTGGCTGCAGGTTGGTGCCTCTGGCCCTTTGTCTCTCTGTCCCTTGGCGACTCTAGAGCCACTTCCCTGTGGCTGCTCCCAGCTCCCCCAGCATTTTGGCTTCCTTGGGGACACCAGCCCCCCTGTGGCAGTGTCCCTACACCTGCAGCCTGGCTCTTCCCATCTCTGTCACCAAAACCAGGCAGCGGGGCAGAGCTGGCAAGTGACACCACCAGACACTGCGTCCTGGGGCGCTGAGGACAGAGCCAACAGCTTCTTCCTCCCTGGGACAATTTGTTTGCCTGGGGTGACCGAGGCCAGAGATGTCCCTGTCCCCAGGGAGGGCGCTGTGGGGTGGAGACAAGGGTAGGGGCTTGTCCCTAGCCCTGGCAGCTCAGAAGCTGTCCAGCCTGGGGACGGTGACTCCAGCACAGTCACCAGCATGAGGACAGTGACAGATGCCGGTCCCAGCACAGCTGCCAGCATGGGGACAGTGACGGATCCCCCCCAGGACCCCGACCCC